ACAAGCAAAACATTACAACCTACCCCAGATTGAAACCGGCAGAGAACGTCGAAACAGTCAGGCTAAAATGATAGTGCTCAGTGTTCACCTCTTGTGTGCTGAAGATTATCTGTCGATCACAGGTACCAAACAATTTTCGTTTCTTGCTCGACTAACTTGACATTAAATGACTATTCGCTGTTGGGTGCATTTGAAATAGAAGTTAGTTTTTTCAACATGTATAACCGTTAAAGACTTCATGAAACATAGAGAAATCGACCAAGCTGACGAGATCGAGTGCACCACTGTGTTAATCTTGGCTTTATATTTTTAAAATTGGCATTTAAAATCGTGTTTTCGGGGAAGCAGTAACTGTCATGAAGAATACTGCATTGTACACAGAACTTATTGTCCTGATGTTAAAGAACAATTAACAGTGAGATCTATTGTAAAAACCTTAAGCTCGGGTATCCTATATTTCGATAGTCTGAATGCTATGTTATTAAGATATTTCTGTGATCCAGTAATGGATTATTATGAGGCCATTTTCTACTTTACTTAACGTTAACTTTAGTGATTAAGTCAGAGATATTCAGCTGTGTTTTGGCAGCAGTTCATTGTGGTTTAGTTTACGTACAGGAGGGAAAGTTGAACTCGCTCGACAGATCTTAACAGTTTTGATGAGCGACTACGTAGGGAGTCACAAACAACGTTTCCTCGCATTTATTTCCTTGCAACTACATCTTAGCGATCAGTGAAAATCCAGCTTAAAGTTCAAAAACATTCGGAAAAGCATTGTGGAATAAACGCCAATCTTCTGGTCCGAGTTTTTACGAATCACCAGGGGATACTGTATTGCAGTATGCAAATAAGAAATGAGGTATAAAAACTAATAAATAAATCAGAAAGGTGAAAATGGGTCTAATTTGTTAAACTACAAAGGTGATAAGTGAGTATATTGGAAGACAAATCCGACCCAAAACTGGTGTTAACAAATTGTTCGCATATATTTTTTTTTGCTGTTCAGTAGAGCTTTGTTGTCCATAATGTTTCCAGAGAACTTATTTATAAGAATAACTAATTCGGCCAAAATTAGCACAAAAATATGGAAAACTTTTATGAAATCGAAATTCTGGCGTTTAACGCCCACATGGACGATTGCCAAAAACCAGTATCCACGCAAGACTAATATATAACAACGGACAAGAGCAATTTTGACACCCGGATAGTTGCTAGTAAGAGACCTTTGTAGCCGCCCGTCATATGCCGTATGAGCTAAAAGCAAGAAGTGGTGAAAATTAATTAAGTGTTTACATTTCCTATTGATTTTACAGTCCAGGCCCCAGTTGTTCAAAAGATGAATAGCGCTATCCACTGCAAAAATCTCTATCCACCGGATATTGCAATTGGTTTCCGTAATACTTATCCACTGTATAGAGATTTATCCGATGGATAGCTCTATCCAGCCTTTAACAACTGGGGCCAGGTGATTACTTTTGTCAAACAGACTAGTTGGGCACGTTTTTCAGGAAATAAATTTTGATAGTCGAGGATGTCGAAAACAGTTCTCATCGCAGATGACGCTTATGATAAATTAAAACACTATTTTAAAGAGGATAGAGTACTACAATATGACAGATTAAAGATTTAATTTCTTTTCCAGTTTTATACCATTTTCAGTATGTCAGAGCTTTTCGGCCTTATAGAAATAGAGCCGGCCTCAGGGAGAAGGAAAATCTAGCACGAAGAAATGATCTTTTTTAATACTTGTATCATTTTTCCAAAGACTGAGTATATGGTCTACTTTCCTGAGATGAGGGTGTATGTACAAGATCTAAGGTCAGAAAATATTGTCTGAAATACCCGCTTTCTATTACAGAGCACTGCATGAATTATCACATTTGATTTGCTTAAAAAATGTCGGTTGCTTTCATCTTTTTTTCGTTCATTCCATAGTTTTCGCAAAGTAATGTCTACACTTTGAATTACAAACAAAGCTGAAATCAAGCTATAATAATTTTGGCAATAGAGTTTCAGTCTTTACCTTGGCCCTGACGTCATTCGGCAGCTCGCTGTTAGCATAGTAACAAAAGTGATAACAGCCACTAACAAGATAAAAGATAAGCCATAAATGAAGCAAAATATGTGTACTAAGGATCCCGCAGTTTTTGATAACTATCCATAATTGGTGGGCATACTTTCCTTTGAAGCAAAGAATTTAACAATAAAGATTTACGAAGAGGCACGAAGTTAGTTAATTGTGCTTATCTGTGGGTGACCAGTTATTTGCACAAGAAAAAACCGAAAGAGGTTTGCCGCGCTCAGATATAAATGAAGCCACAGGAGCGAGCTATCAAAAGATACTTTGCATTGAGAGCGTTTCTGTTGTAGTAGCTTTTATTATCATGTAGAAAGATTTATGTGCTGTTTTCGGTCGGCAAAAGCTTTTGTTTCCTTAATAAATGCTAATTAAGTGACGCGTTTAAAAAGTTAAGATGAATTTGGATAAGAAAGAAACTCAACAGAAAAACTGTAGCGCGCCGCAAAATAATTAAGTTTAACATGTTTTTAGTGTATCTCGTTAGCCATAGCGATTGGTTGAAAAATCCGAGCTTTCAATCATTCATCTCCAGTGAAGGCAGACCTTTTTTGTGCCACTGTAGCTAAACTTTGTCCCACGCGCACCCACACTCAAATTATTTATTCATTCGCCAGTTTTCCCGTTTTTCTTTTGTTTTATTAATAGCCACTTCTGCGGAGGAGAGAAATATCAACAAAGAACGACACCCTCTGAGATATGAATAGTCCGGATCAGTTTTGAGTTCTGCGGTCTAGTGAAAAACTAACACGGTAACAGATGCTAAGATTCAGATATCGCATATTTTAGAGAAGAAGTAATTTCAATTAAGCTACGTTGTTAAACTAAAATTATAGCATGTGCAGATTATTCTGTGGTTAGCAGGACACCTTCTGAGTCAGCGTGGTTTTTAACTGAACGTGATTGCTGAGAGTTCTTATCATGGTAATCAGCAACGTAAGCGATACGATGTAGTCAGTTTAGTAGTTCTGGATCCCCTGTAGGGCATATATAATAAAAAAGACTACAATGGCTGAACACAAAATAGATCTGAAGGGCGCTGACGACCCAAGTGATTATTTGACCGTTCAGGAGCGGCGAGCCGCGTAACCTCGAGTGTTCTCAAATCGCATTAACACTGTTACAGCAAGAATTCTTTTGGTAAGAAAACATGTTGTACAACGTTAGTTAAAAATCAATTATTTGCGCTGACCAACATACACAGTTTCAAGTTTGTGTCGGATATCAAAACTACGAAACAGCTGTATATTTATGGTGTGATTTTGTATCTCAGTGTTTTTAGCTGCAAATTATACAGAAATAACCGCGAAAGAGACTGCTAGTTGAAAGTATTTTATCACAAAATTTTCTTTGTGTTACCAGACAAAAAACTTGTCACAGTATTGGGTCAAAGCGTTAATTGCACAGATCCCTATGCGGTGCTCTGTTAAAGCTTATAATTTATTTTTTACTGTATTTGCATTTTTGCTTGAAAAGCTAAAACTTGAGAAGGGGACAAGCTTTTATATATTTCTTCTTCTCCAGGGATATAATAGTGGCTAGAATGTAACAAAAAGATATAATTTTTACATTTGCAGCATTAAACTTTAGCTCGTGAAGTTTATCCGCATAATGAATGTAAAATGTATTTGCAAACAAGGCATCGAAAGGCAGGATGTTCGATATATTCCATAAAAACATAATTTTACCAAACTCATCACGGCCGCATTGCATTATATTTTAGCATTAGTATCGTCAATTTGTTGTGAGTAGCGGTGAGGTAGGTAATGCGAGGGCGGAGAAGATGGAGAAGTCGTTCTTCCTTATTCATTATGCTTGCTTTTTTTTCTAACTTATTCGTTATTCATTGACTTTTATTATTATCATTTTTTTTCTCACATCAGTTTTTCATGGTAAAGTTAGTATGAGATATGTTTATGTATCGGCGTAATACAGCAAAGCCAATGAAGCCAGTTTTAAAGCGAGGTATTCGTCGGTTACAAACATTGCCAGGAAAGTGGTCAGTGTGTCAGGTTATCAGTACAAGGGTTAGGATTTAAATGGCGCACACCACCTCACCCTATCGGTAATGGAGCATATTGTTTAGCTAGCTTTATTTTTTAGCTACTAATCATAGACCCTTCTAAAGGTACGTTACCTACCTAGAGCGGAGAGTGTAACACTTTTCTGTATTCGGTATTCAAGCTACGGAGGCAAAATATTGTGTGTTTTTCCGTTGAAGTTTCAGTGAGGCCTTCCTTAATTATTACTAGATTGGATTCAATGTCCTAGAACTTTTCTATTTGGTTCGCTTTAAGGATGTAGAGAAATTAATCCATCAATTATTTAGAACAAGTGACTTTTATGATCATAAACTAAGCTAGCCAGGAGTTTATACATGATATATGAGCATTTTTAACGGGATACGATGAAACAACCGTGAATTAGCATGAGTATATTAAGTCAACTTATTTTTGTAAATAATGAAAGAAGCCAAATGTGCAGGGAGTTTGTTAATGACACAGGAAGGCAAAATTAACTTGAAATTCTAATGAAACTGTACATATGAGCACCATACCTATAACCGACGAACAGCTGTTGTCGAGTAAATATTAATATCATGCTGCTGAATTTAAGACATGCTGTCTTTTAAACAAATGTTTTATGCTTCTTGCAGCAGTTTCAACAGAGCAACCAGGGGAAACAACGCAGGATTAGAATTACGAAAGTCCTTTCCTCAGGTATTTTACATTAAAGTTTTTGCAAATAGAGAAAAGTGATAACTGCTTCCGTCGTAATTGAATAGTTACTATGATATGCCTTGGAATTTAGCGTATTCTCAACCTATTATCAATTCTTCATGTATCCGTTTTGAGAAGTTGACTGTACTTGGCTTTTTTCTTATTTTTATTGCTCTACTATCACAGATGGTGAGTTCAGAGGGATGGATAGCAACAGCTTCAACAGCACTAACTCCAACAGATCCGCGGTAGTCAACCCAACGGCTTTAAGAGGATCGTTCATTGACCTACAATACCTAGTCATATGGTGTATAGTGTACTTAATTATCGCCACGTTCGCCTTATTAGGAAACGTTCTCATTATCTTTGTGTTTTCAAAGAAACGCAATCTAAGAACAAGAACAAATTATTTTGTAATTGGCCTGGCTGTCGGTGACATATTAGTGGGTACGCTTACAGTACCGTTGTACGTGACTTGGTTGATTCTCTTGTATAATCAAGACTATAAAGCTTCTTCCCTTGTGCAGACCATATTTAGCCCTGTGGACATTCTCTCAGGAATGTTGTCTATTCTTCACTTGATGACGATTAGTATTGAACGAGTATATGCAATCGCCTTTCCCTTACGTCATCGTACCTCCACTGCGCGTATTAACTTTATATTCCTAGCTATAATCTGGATCACAGCCGCTGGTATTGCCTCGCTAAACTTCTTCATACCCAAAGGTCCTGAATGGAAAGGAACGTTCCTCATATACTCGACCCTTGGATTTTTTGTACCTTTTTCTGTTATTTTATTTGCTTATACATCAATATGGATTATTGTGAAGAGTAGGACAAAGATATCAAGGCAAAGAGCTCGAGTTGTCAGGAGAGAAAGTCGTACTGCTCTCACTATTTTCGCTTTGATTCTCCTCTTCCTGATCACGTGGTTGCCGTTCTTTAGTCTCAACTTGGTCTTATTTTCATGCTCTAAGTGTGCAGTCTCAGTACCTTTACAGCTTGTCTTGTTCTTTAAGGCGCTGCACTACTGTGGATCAGCGTTAAACCCCGTGGTTTACTCAGCACGCATGCCCGAGTTTCGACGCCCAATTGCCATATTGTTAAAAGAGAGAAGACTGACAGGATCTATGTATCGTCGTTCCTCGGATCGGCAATCACTGAGAAGAAGCACCATACGTGGCAAAGATGTTGAACTCTCCGATATAGCTGATCATCAAAGCACCGTCAGTGCTACTGAAACTGCCGACGCTACTGCAGATGAAAAAGACGCTAAGAAATTGCCATTATAAACTAAGATTATTATAAAAGAAATGTATATTTGATAGAGGGTATTAGATTATTTAAGCTAAAGTGATAAAGCAAAAGTTGTTACGGGCCAACAGCTGTCTATAAAAGATGCCATAGGCCAACATATCTTTATTGATTACTTTGTGCTAAAGGTTATTCTTGTCAAGTGCACTGGACAACTGTAACAAAATATTAAAACTTTAAACATTTCTGTTGTCATAGCTTAGTATGAGCAAAAGGCAACATTTATGCTATCGATAATGTCTAACAGGTACCATATTTGAATATATGCAGTTTTTGACTGACGTTGTATCCACCTTAATTCACACGGGAAAGAAAATATATCGAGTGAATGAGCAAAAATAATGATAATCAAGGGGAAAATAGGGACAAGATGATAAGAGAAAAGAATTATTAGTTATAAAAGCAACTAGGGGGGAAAGGAGATACCAGGTGCTGTACCCCTTGTATCCCCGTGGCTGAAAAAGCGGTGACCGGTCATGCAGGTTTAACTGGCCACAGATAGCCAGGGGTGTACAGTGTTGTGAAGTATTTTAAAAGTTAAATTTAAGACGGATCTATCTTATCTTTAAGTTTAGTTTTTGTTTCATTAAGTCTTGTTTTTGTGCACGTACTGTTTCCCTGTTATCTTTTGTTTTTACTTGTACTTGAATTTATGCTTAGCTCTCGAATTTGCTTATTGCCATATTAGGAATTTTATTCCCTTGGCATTGTCAGATGTTAGTGTTTTACAGGTGGTCGTGTTTGTGGTGTTAGAGCTGACCTTCGTTCTTTGGTACTTATCAGTTGCGGCTGTGCGTAGGCTAATCTATTCCCTAACAATAGCAAACCTGTTGCAATGTTAGCGATAACGTATACAATAGAAACTCTTCCGGTCAGCTAACCCAAACATGTCCAGCTTTGGCTATTAAAACCGCTACAATACTTGAACNGACTGAAGAAAATCTCTCATTCTGCTGGTGAACACTCTTTCTCTTCCAGCCCTTGTTGACATAACCATATGAAAACCAATTCTATCATCTGCACAATCCTCGTCTGACTCACTGTCTCCGCTTTCACTGCTAGCTGGTAGCTAGACCGCGGGCGCGAAGGCGAAAAATACTGATTTCACGGTCTCTACTGAGGAGTGCAAGGTGCATTGCTACGAAATTTTATTTTTCTATTTCAAAATATTGGAGCAAAGACTGCTGAAGAAAAGAAATCCCATTCCCATTTTATAATTATTCATCCCATTCCCAGTGGCTAAATCCCAGTCCCAGTGAGTAAATCCCATTTTCCCAGTCCACAATAAGGCTAATCCCAGTTCCCATTTTACCCCTTCATGACCCTCTATATTAGCCGACAAAGATGCCATAGGCCAACATATCTTTATTGATTGCTTTGTGCTAAAGGTTATTCTTGTCAAGTGCACTGGACAACTGTAACAAAATATTAAAACTTTAAACATTTCTGTTGTCATAGCTTAGTATGAGCAAAAGGCAACATTTATGCTATGGATAATGTCTAACAGGTAACATATTTGAATATATGCAGTTTTTGACTGACGTTGTATCCACCTTAATTCACACGGGAAAGAAAATATATCGAGTGAATGAGCAAAGATAATGATAATCAAGGGGAAAATAGGGACAAGATGATAAGAGAAAAGAATTATCAGTTATAAAAGCAACTAGGGGGGAAAGGAGATACCAGGTGCTGTACCCCTTGTATCCCCGTGGCTGAAAAAGCGGTGACCGGTCATGCTGGTTTAACTGGCCACAGATAGCTAGGGGTGTACAGTGTTGTGAAGTATTTTAAAAGTTAAATTTAAGACGGATCTATCTTATCTTTAAGTTTAGTTTTTGTTTCATTAAGTCTTGTTTTTGTGCACGTACTGTTTCCCTATTATCTTTTGTTTTTACTTGTACTTGAATTTATACTTAGCTCGCGAATTTGCTTATTGCCATATTAGGAATTTTATTCCCTTGGCATTGTCAGATGTTAGTTTGTTACAGGTGATCGTGTTTGTGGTGTTAGAGCTGACCTTCGTTCTTTGGTACTTATCAGTTGCGGCTGTGCGTAGGCTAATCTATTCCCTAACAATAGCAAACCTGTTGCAATGTTAGCGATAACGTATACAATAGAAACTCTTCCGGTCAGCTAACCCAAACATGTCCAGCTTTGGCTATTAAAACCGCTACAATACTTGAACTAGTAGAAGTAGAGAAGAGTGGAGAAGTTGGTAGAACTGACTCACGTGAAAGTTGCTGAGTAGGTAGAAGTTGGTAGAAGTAAGTTAGTGAAAAGTGGAAGAGTTAGAAGATTAAGAAGAATAAAAGCAAGATGTAAATCAGATTCCTGGTACCTCATCGTGTAGCGAGCGAGTTGCTCGAACACACCCCCACAATAGGCATCACCTTCTAGGCCTTTGATATTGCCCTACTCTAAACTAATGCCGAAAATCTTTGTAAAACTGTAAGAAAGTTTTCTAAGAGTCTGCCGTATATTTCCGGAAATGCACGATTTTAAGTGCTATTGTTATTGTTTTTAAAATAATTTTGCGCTATTAACGTGGCCTTTTCTGTTTATTTGCTTTCATTCAGTAAAACACTTAAAAGACGTGACATATGTAACTATATGCAATGGCTTAAAGTGGTGTATTGGCGTTTAAAAACGGCTAATAATTATTTCAACACTACTAGATCTTTCTAATTTTACTTATCTGTTTTTGGATCAGGCTAATTGTAAATAAAGAATGACAACTCTACCTGACATGATAGGGCTTGATGCCTGCGTGGCGTTTTTTAGCAACTGTAGTGGAAACACACCTACCTGCGGGAATTTGCGATAAAAGGGGACTCATCAGGTCCCATACGAGCCAGGTTCCCTCCCCTCCATATCAATGTTTCCACAACTCTTTAAAAATAGGACAACTGTGGTACACACAGACAAAAATTGTTACTTCCCTAGTGGTTCTTCATCGTCCGACACTGTCGGATCTATTCAGTGAGAGTGTTGTAAAACGGAGCCCACGATCTTTATCCGAGAAGAATAAGAAAGGGTAAAGGCAGCACCTGCTCCTTGATTACATTCAGAATTTGGGTATTGGTCTGGCTAGGAGTCAGACTGGCCCGCCCTACGGCTGCGAAGGCTGGTAGTACTCTATCAAGTAAGCTATCTAGGCGGCGGTTACTACAAAATTAAGGTTAGGCGCGATATGGTGCTCAAATCCTTGAGATTTTTCGCTAAGCAAAGACTTAGTTTGTGGAAGAAAACGGAGGATCGTCTGTAGCAGTAAACTCTCAAATTATGACTATAAAATATTTCTAATAACAAAAAAAACAATGTCTTCATTGAGTGCACTGAAAAGAAGCCATTGGTCAACGTAATGAGCCAATATAAGTAGGATTTTCATTACTAAGTAAGGTGCCCTATTAACAGTTATAATGAACTGAATTGTGGTTCTTAAATGAATGGGTATAAAGCAGAATGAGACTTAGAAACATACAATATTGATGACAAGAACAGCAAAAACATTATACAGCACTACCAGTCTCACCATCAACGCATCGCTTTTTCTACATGGAGTACAAAAAAAGCGGCCGCAGACTAAACAGTTTTATTTTGTGGCAAAAAATAGCCAAGCAGTTACGCTCACTAAGAGTATTTCTAGAAAAACTCTCAGTTGCAACAGTCAATTAAAAAGGTAAGGCTATTTGTCCTGTTTTAAAGTAGGTCTAAGTAAAGTCATTAATAACATTTATGTCTATTTAGTTTCCTGTTCATTCTTATTTTCAAGAATCAAGTTTAGTTTTTTCTAGTTTATGGGGTAGTTTAATTTGCAAAAAAAAACATACCAAAAAAGAAACGACCGAGACAAAGAAACGAAATGATGGCCGAGCTATTTAGTAATAATGTAAGCGTAAGATAACAAGATGGAAATTATAACGTTAAAAAAAAATGGGTTAAACTTAAAACAAGATAAAAAATAGAATAACGTTTTACGTTAGAATGGCTTCCTTACGAAAATTATTATCTGTATTTCATCAAACGATACAGTAACATAATTGTAGGCATTATTCATCAGAAATCAATATTAATGAGTTCTGCTAGCAACAGCCTTGACTGAGAATATCAACGCTCTCTGGCGATGATTTCTACCATATCACAAACTGTAATTAGGAAATTATTACTAAAATCTTAAAATCAATGAATGGGAATTAAACAATAAAAATCTTTACTTATTTCAGCCACGTGATCTTTAAGTGAGCCCTCGACCATGGTAATTTTGGATCCTGTTTTATCTTGGCTGTACTTCGTTGCTTTGTGTATTATCAGCTGCATTTCATTAGTAGCCAACAGCATTGTTTTAACCTGGAAGCCACCCAATCCTAATGATCGATTACATTTTACAGGACTTGGTCACATATTAAGAAGCCTTGCTCTTTCAAATCTTACCACAGCCATAGTAACAATACCACTTTGGTTATTTATCCTTATCATGGGACAAACAAAACATAGCTCAATTGTCTTGGACGAAGTAGATGACATTTCTTTCAACAGCTTTGATGTCGTCCATCAACTTCTGGCCGCCCTCCATCTGGTTGCTATGGTAACAGAAAGATTTTGCGCTATTTACCGGCCAGCTATGCACCAAAAAGCACGTGATCGCCTCGCTTACTTGACAAGCATTTCATGCTGGCTGATTGCGTCATCAGTCTCCTCCATTATTTTTGTGGTATATTATTGGAGTAAAGCAGCCGTTATTACCGCAATTATTTCCATTTGCTGCTTTGGGCTTCCCTGTCTCGTTATCATGGTAATGTTTTTGCTTATCCTTTTGAAATTGCTCAAGGGAGAATTAACTCCGAGCAGGAAAATTGACGTTGCAATATCAAAAGAAATAACTCTGGTGTTTTTGTTTTACTTAATTACATGCTTGCCATACCATACCTTAACTTTACTTAAGTACTTTTGCTCTTCTTTCGACCATGGCTATCTCTCATTATCTTTAGGAATGCGTTTTTTTTATTATAGCAGTTCAGCGGTTACACCCGTAGCATTAATAGCATTTGTGCCTGAATTGAGAACCAGATCTCAGAGGTTCTGTTTTAGGCTACTCGCTATTAATGAGGAATCTCGCAACGATTTATATTCTATAGAAATTCCTGGCATTCACTTAAAGAAATCCTCATGTACCCTGGTGAAGACAGCACCAAGGCGGCAGGTCTCTATCCCTACGGTACAGGAAAATATATTGCTTTAAAATTATCATTGGTCTCACCAACATATTTAAACAGAGTAAACCCGTCAGTAGCCTCTCACGCAGACGTTCTTAGAGAGTTTTAGAGGTTCGTCACGCGTTCGGCAGGAGGCTAACCGTCAGCTGAAGCTGTTATAAATGGGTGCCCTGGTCAATGAAAAATAACAATTAAAGGATAAAATAGCTATTAACACATCAACTATCAGAAAATGTACACTGAACTATGTACAATGTCGATGGATAAAAACTAAGAATTATATGACTACGTAAATTATCACTCTAAAAAAAAAGATTATTAAGCTGTGTTTTAAAAATCACTATAGAGTCAACTTTCTTTTGACGCGGTGCCAAGTTATTGAACGCCTGGGCTCCAGTATAAAATGTTCCTTTCTAAGCAGATTCTGTGCGGACTTTAGCAATTAAAATATGTATATCATTACGCCTAGTGGAATAAATATGTGAATACTTGATAAAACAGCTCTTAAAAAGATCTGGAGCAATATTATGGAGGCACTTAAAAGTTAACTTGTATATAGTAGAACGCGCCTTAACTGGGGGACTTCCAATCTTTAGACCTTTCACAGTCTGCATTATAATTTGGTAGCTGGTCTTTGCTCGAACCTGTCTCCTTAACTCAGCTATCTGGTGAATGTACCGTGATGTCCACAGGGTGGCCAGGACTCCGCACAGCTCAGTTCAGTCTATTAGGAGGATCCTAAAGTATAACCTTATGAATGTAACTTCTTGGTTATTACGTCAAGGTGACGACTCATCATTAGCTATGATAAAAAACTGACGCCATTTACTGCTCTATAAATATGTTCATTGATTATTCCAATAGAGGGGCATACACTGTCGAATTATCTTTAACCCTTACCTAAACCCAAGTCCTTACACGAAAATACATCACGATCAGATTTCAGTTTTTTAATAATAACGACCCGTTAACTGAAAGCCTCCAATCCATTGGCTATGTGCCTTCGGGTACCATCAGCACTTTGGGGTTGCTGTTCCGGTGAGATTTAGAAGTGGACTTTGTTCGTCGTGTGAAAAAAAGTAGAAATATGAGGAAGATGGAAGAATATGAGAATAGAAGAACACTCATAACCAAGAAAGGTCATGTCAAGTTTTACAGATGGAAAATTGTATATACGAAACCATATCAGACATCCATCTTCTTCTAAGCATGAAAATAAAACAAATGAAAGAAAGCAAGAACCTTTCTCCGAGGAGCATTGATAGAATCAGTGATAGGTTGGAATTGTAAAAATCCTTGTCAATAAATTTAACGGATATTTAACACCAAGTTGTTTCAAATGAACACAAAATGTTGTTTGGTTAAAAGCATAAGAAAGGTGCCTGTAAGTTTGTTTGTCTAAGTTTAGAAATTTTAATTGTTTAGGAACGGATATGTTATATTAACTAGAGGCAGTCATAGAGACTGGATCAGTTTTTGTATGGCATGTGTAGCTTGGGTTTATTAGGTAAATAAGAACACAAACTCACGGAGGAAATTAATTAGCGAAACCCACCAAGCCTAATGAAACAAAAGTCATGGCAGCATCGACAAGTTTTCCTGAAGATTTCCTCTTTCGGTTAAACTAATCTTGATCAATTTACGCACTTACTGATCTTAGCAGTAAATTAACAACATGGCTGATGATTGATAATTTTTAAATTGGCGCAGTCTTTGGACAGTTTGCTCTTTTCACTTACATCTGTTGCAACCGAACAAACATAATAATTTGAATATGTTAATGAAAAGATATTGTAAACACAAAGCACGTCTCAGTGTCAATGCCCTTTCCGGGTTATAGATATATTTTAGAAAATAGCTAATTTAATTACTGACTCTATTTTAGAAATTAATGTTCTCTTCAACTCAAAATGGTATGAACTATGAAAGGCAAATTAAAGGATTAATCTTCTCTGCTGATATTTTGTCAGGGTGATAACCGCGATCAGTGTTCTAGTAGATTTTTTATCACTGCTGAGTTAGACTTGATAAAGTTGCCTTAGTAAAATTTTAACATAAGAAAACAATTTCAACTCAGTTCCACCGACAGCTCGTTAAGTTTTGACAGCCAGTGCTAGATTTCCGCAATCTGCCATCTTGTTTATCCAAGTTGTTTGTTGTTAGAAAAAGAGACGCACAACTGTTCATTTGTAAAGTAAAAAACACGCCAGCTAGCAAGCAAGGAACGCGATAGAAGACATGATAAATTTTTCAAAGGAACAAAGAGCAGAGGTGATAGTTTTAACATTTGGTCAGTTTAGAAAATGACACGGAACAATTTCCACTAATGAAAGTAAATCATTCTTTTTCTTGTCAACTTGAAAACACACTTTTCAAAGTATTCCCGGCTGTACTACTGAAATGATTTCTCTCCATGTTTTTAAATAACGTTACAAAAATCAAAACCATTGGCCATTTTGAACAAACTCAAAGAAGCTGCTCAAGAATCCTTTGAAAATTTGTTTTTGAAAATTACGAAAGTAAAGTAAGAAAGTGAAGCTAAGTTACCCACTGTAAAAATAGCTTGAAAGCAGTTTTTCTTGTTTACAACATTTTCTCAAAACCAAATTAATGAGGCCCAGTGCCGTGATCCACCCATAATGATTCAAATATAACAAAATCTTTTAAAAGCGGGTATTTTCTGGAATAGTTATCTTCTTGTTCTTTCCTTTCCTTTTTAGAAATAGAGGAATATAACAACTGGCCAAACATTAATCTGATATAGCAGAAGATGAGCAATATTACCAGCTTACCAACACACATCAACTCTTCGACATATCAAAATGCTACGGAAATCTCCCCTGTGATCCGTACAAGCTCTTTGGTGAAAGTTACATTTTGTATTATGTTTTCCATTCTTTCTTTATGTATTGTGTTGGGGAATATCATGGTTATATCAGTCTTTCTTTACAAACGTAAACTGCGTACTCGAACCGCCTATTTTCTCACGAGCCTTGCATTGTCGGACATCATAGTAGGGAGTGTAGGTGTCCCTTCATTCATATACGTCGTCGCCAAATCAGTGGAATTTCCAAGCTTTGTTTATATTCTGTGGAACACTGTCGACGTTTTAGGTGCAACAGCATCCATTTGGCATTTAATGATGATAACTATTGAGAGGTTTTATGCCATAGGTTGGCCCTTCCTTCATCGTGCCTCCTCAAAAAAACCGTATTTCTGCGTCATCTGCTCAGTCTGGAGTGTATCTGCAGCATTGTGCAGCATTACTGTAAAAACAGCATCGAGTTGGCATTATTACACGCTTTTCATCTCCGTTGTGTCTTTTATTTGGCCTTTATCGGTAATTATTATTGTCTACATAGCCATGTTTGTCACTGCATCAAGGAGTGTTTCTCAAAACCACCGGCAAGTGCGCAGAGCCGAAAGGGAAGCCCGTATCGCTAAAGCAATTCTGCTTGTTATAGGCTGTTTTCTAGTTGCTTGGGGTCCTTTTTTTGGCCTGAACTTTGCATACTGGGCGTGTGGTACATGCGTAGATATCAAATACGAAGTTATTCTTGCATTTAAGGTTCTTCAATATAGTAGCTCGCTTGCGAATCCTGTCATCTACACTGTACGACTTCCTGGTTGTTATCAAGCCATCGTGGAGCTGTATGGGAGCTGGTTAAGATGCAGAAAGTTGAATCGCCAGGAGGACCAGGAATATCCACTAACTTCCTTTAGGAATGCTTCTTCCAGTAGATTAAGTGAGAATGACAATGTTTCTCTTTTTAGGTTTTCTTGGCGAAGGAAATCGTCTGTTCGTAGAATAAATTCATTCAACATGACAGCGAACGGGAAAACTTCGAAGAAATTACGAAAATCTAAAAATAAGACGTTTTCTACTGTAGTTTAGCTAAAGTTACAAAAGAGAAGTATACCTTTCAGAATATATTTAAAATTAAACCTACGATGTTAAAACTTTAAAATCGACATTAAAATTTAAAGGTGGCACTACCTGACCAGTTTAAGCGGATTTTTCGTCTGTTGATAACTCATCCACTTTTAAGGGCAGCAACGAGAAAGACAACTCAATCAAGTGAACATTCAATACACGCGCGAAGTTAATTAATTTATTACCTGATACTGAATAGGACAGCCCGTACACAGACTTGACAATCTTGGGAAGCAACGAGAGTTTATCCTGATCCAAAAGTAATTTTTAACTAGTGTAAGTTGGCGTGCCACTGTCAACTATAGCCTAAAATATATATGAAAGAGAATAAGTTTAAATTTCTGTTTGGTTGCAACATTTTCCGCTCGCCAGCAGAAACGTCACATTTAATAATTAAACCTTTCTTTTATTACAATCCGTCTTTTTATGGCCTACATCGATCAATCAAATTATCTATAAATAAAAGACCTCTGTGGATATCTAAATAGTGAGAATCTAGAAAACAGATTATAACCCGGGGAGAGAAAACAGGGCTTTAAACCCCACAAATGGTACGCTCAGAGAAAAAAAAGCCACAATCCTTTTGGATAGGGATCCAATCCCTTCCAAAAGAACGTTTTTGCGGGTGGGAAAGTAATGTAATTAGTTATATTTCCAATTTTCAATAAAATTTGTTGTTGTTGTTGTTGTTGTTGTTGTTTTAAAGAAAGATTTTCTTTAAGAAGACAAAAAAAAACCAACAACAACAACAACAACACTGTTTGGAACACTTTTAAGGAAATAATCGGTGCTAATTCATGTCTTTAGGCAATTTTACTCTTTCCAACCATTTTCCTCTCGTGCTATAGCATATTTCACTTCTGTTTATTTCTTTTTATTCATTGTTTTCTTCGGCATTTCTCAGGTACTTGGTGTACTTATTAGGGTGCAGGCCCCATTTGTTCGGAAGGTGGATAGCACTAGCCACTGGATAAATTACTATCCACTGGATAGCGCAATTGGTTTTCGTAATACTTGTCCTCTGGATAGCGCTATCCAGCTTTTGAACAACTGGGGCCAGGTCACTAAACCCCTGACCCCTCAGCCCCTAGTAGACGTATTGTCGTGTTGTGGACAAAACAATATTGGTGGTGTGTTTACTATACCGCCAAAACTCTTTGGAACTGTAATCCTGAAAAGTTCTCCGTAAATTAATCATAACAAAGCTCAGACGGCCAGAATAGTGAGTTAACTCACCCAAGGAGTTTGACCGCCACAAGCAGTATTTAACATCAGTAGTATAGGGCACACCGAATTATCTATTTTTTGGTGGAATCTCATTAATTTGCTGTGGATTATATTACCACAGTTAACGTAAGTTCCTTTTGTCTTTATCTCATGAATAAAATGTGTAGGAATCTCATTATCTCTCTTATTATCTAGAAACAATAGACTCATGTAGCCTAGACAGGTTTTAAGCTGTTTGTCCAGTTCATGTTTTATTGAACTGGTTTAACAGGTTTTTACTTAAGCTATTTTCAGATGGATGATGTAATAGTTAATTTAAAGTTATGTGCGTTATATCCGTATATGGGTATGAAGCCACCCGTGTTGTAACGTAATTATGCAAGTTCTATTTCCTGCCGCTGTCATTGTCCAACAATTGTTAATGCATGTTGTTGTTGAGGAGTGGTTCTCCGTAGACGAAACTGGCGCTGATGAGGAAATATCCGAGCCAGTGAAGAATTATTCAATCAAGCACTGGGTTTCAAGACAATATTCCTAAAGAACTTCTGAAATATCTAAAGCAGCAAAATCGTTCGCCTGTCCCGCTTCTAATCTTCCAGCTATGCTGGAGATACAGGGCAACATTGATCACTTGTTTTCTCAACAAGATCTGATGGATGATGAAAAGGCTAAGCGATACTTTCAGTTGCAAAACAGATACCTGGCTCTCAAAAAAACAATTGAATTCAAGAACACGAACACGACCCGAAGAGATCAACAGCGCTGTTCCAGAATTACAAAACACACAAGATTCTTTGACCTTCAACGTAACACCTGATTTAAAACAGGCAGCCATCTTACAAAAACCTTAAGCAGAACGATCTACCCCACTACCACTGTTAAATCCAAAGTTCCTGACCCCTCCTTCGGTGCAAACTCTACCACAAGTCCCGAAATCAAAACGGCGGCAGATTCTTTTTATAAATTGCCTGGATGATGATGACGCAAAACAGAAGAGGCAAACTCGGCGCCAAAGACTTCAGAGTAAAACCTTACAAGTATTCCAAGGGCAAAGAAGATGATTGATTTTTTTAAATGTTGTAATGTAGTAAAGAATAAAATAAAGAGTTTCATGTCGAATTTGTGTGAGCTGAGTTTCATAGAATTAGCTTGGTTGTACTCTCATGGCTATGCACAATTTGCTCGAACGTGGACTATTTGGTGCGAAATTTCAGCGTTAATTTGCAATTTTCTTTCACAAGCGAAATTACGAAATTGCCATGGCAACCCACTGCTCTAAGCCAATCAAATTGCAGAAATTTCTCATGCAGTTTTATAAGCGCGAAAATACGAACATTTGCGCATAAATCAGATTCAATCACGATATTTGCATTTTTATACTACTACAAGAGAAATTTCTGCAATTTGATTGGCTTAGAGCAGTGGTATTTCAGCTTAATTTGAAATACCTACATGTGAAAATTACAAACTTTTTGCGGATAGTAGTATAAACAAATAATAGCATGATTTGTATGTGATATTTGGCATATATACCGCTCGTGATATTTCAAAATTGTCTCAAATTTCACTCGCCTAATGGCTAGTCTGCTACACAGCCGTTTTTAGTGTCGTCACGCAACAAAATAAAAACGGCTGTGTAGCAGACTACCTAATGGCTCGTGAAATTACGTTTATCAATTTTGAAATATCACTCGTGGTATTTATGCCAAATATCACTACAAATCATGCTATTACCTATACTAATCAACATTCAATAACACTTTTGGGCATTCATATGCGTCATTCAGCATACAAAAGAGAAACATATACTTTCATTAACGCCAACATCAAAGTCATTAACACCATCTTGAAAGTCAATAGGGACAACAGACAAACAAACACTATTCATTAACATTTTTTGATACTGTTTGCAATTCAACTGCATTCCTGGACAACCTTAGGATGGATAAGCCAAACATTAATGAGTTTGTACTCTGATTTATGCGGAAATGTTCGTATGTATGCGCTAATGAATGTATCTTCGCACTACTGGTCGACGTTTCACGCAAATGATTGCACATTTTCTCGTAATGAACAGCAAAAGGTGTAAGCGCCTAGCCTCGAACAAGCGCCCACTCTAAAGGTCCAAAAATTTAATAAGCGCCCAGGGCGGTTTTGATGCAATTACTTTCGTTATCATCAAAATCGTTACTTTTCTCCCTTTTTTCCAGTTTATTTGGTTTTCTCTTTTCTTTTTTATTCGCTTTAAGGGAAATTTAAACTTATCTTCCAAACGATACATTTTCAGTTTTACAGAGCACTAAAAAAAAAAGATATTTATTTAAATTTATATCTTGTGCTGGGCTCTGCGCGTTTTACTTAAGATGCTGCCTCTGATTCATTAACAGTAAAGACGAACAAGTGATCTTATTTATTTATTTATTTTGCGCGAAAACATGACTAGCTTAAACGCAGAATCATGTGAAAAAACAAAAGCAAGAAAAACAGATGAGAAGAAAATCAATACAAAAACAACGGATTTTTTACCATTTTGGAGTTAAGTAATGGACAGTTAATCCGTTACAACAGTTTTTCGGATCGGACAAATTAAAACATCGCCAAAAACAAGACAAGGAAGAAAAACAATCAAGAGCATTTAATTAACATAAAAATAATGTGTTCAGCCTGAATCATAATATACTAGCTTTTATTTTCATCAATGACACATGTAAATCACACTGCTTTCAAAGGACGACGTACTAAACCACCTGATAAGAAAACCGCTAAACTGCCTGCAGCAAGCTCTCTGTTGGGAGCCCAGGGGTAGGGGGAGAAAAAATGGGACGCCCCCCACCCCCCGAAAGCTTGCTCGCAGGCTTAACTTTCAGTTATTACTTTCACTGGCCCTTTCTTTCGTTTTTTCCCATTCCCCCCC